TTCTGTAATTAAATGAAAAGTAAATATCGATTTTGATTAAATATTATTTAAATGAAGTAATTATTTCTTTTTTTAACAGACTTAATTTATTCATAATTATGACATAATTTTTATCACATTTACATAAAATTTTAATTTATTGCAGGGGATTATTTTTTACGCAGCATCTTGCCAAAATACTTCTCAATGAAATTTTTGTAAATTTTACAAAATTAAATTTACGCTATTTACTTAAAGTAATCTTTCATTTATTATTATTCTAACAAATTTAAAGAAAAATTGATAAAGTAAATTTTAATTAACAATTTTCTTTCCTTTCCAATTATGTAATAAATTTTTTTTCCTCAGAAAGTTTACAAAGGAGAAAGATATCTTAATTAAATATCTTCAGCTATACAAGGTAGTTTAGAAAGAATTATATTATTTCTTTGTTCTTTAAAATGTTTTTACAATTACAATTTCTTGATTATAATCAAAGATAGTTTGACAAACTAATTTCAAGTAAAATTAATTTTTTTTTTTTAGGAAAATTATGATCATACTTTTTTACAACGTGTCTATTCAGCACCACTTATCTCATCGGTAGAAATGTTAACAAAAGAAGTTATCACACCAGCAAGTAGTGTTGTACGTGTTCAGTACACAACATTAGAGAATTATCTTCAAATTGCTGATCAATTGAAAATAATGCGAGATTTTAAAGTAAATTTCCAGTTCAATTTTCATTGCAAAAAATTTTTTTAGATATTTTGTCACTCTATGGAAAAACAAAAAACGAAACAAAACATTAACTTTTAACTGAAATGTTTTTAATCTTTTTAAGTCTAAAGATTAATTAATCATAGAATAGCTTAATTAGGTGTGATAACTTTTATAAATATGACCTGTACAAGTGTGATTTTTTGTCTTTTTAAAGATTAGCTAATCATAGAATAGTCTAATTGAGTGTGATTAAATGACCTTTCAAAGTTCTAATTTTTGTTTTTTTAAGTGATTAATTAATCATGGAACAGTTTAATTGAAGATGATAACATAACATCTATAAGTTTGATTTTTCTTTTCTTCTAATTAATTAATCTTAATGAATAAAAATGAATTCAAATTTATAGGATGGTGTGCCACGAACAGCTTATTTGGGTGTGATAACATGTTTTATCAATGGACTACGAATATATATAGCACCTGATTGGAATATTTGGTCAGGTTACAATTCAAATTGGGAAGCACCATCAGAATAAAAACGGTATATTTGTATATCATATTTGTGCATAAATTTTTTTATTCCCTTCTCTCAGTTTATATTCCGGTTTTTTCCTCTTTTTTTTTTTTTTTTTTGTTAGCTTTATTTTCATTTTCCCACATTAAATTGATTTTTACTTGTAATAATGATTTTTGCTCTCTATTATATGCTAATTTTCCTTTTCTTCATGAGAATATTTTAAATTAGTTTAATTATTTATGCGATATGAAGGCAGTTGTTTATGTATCATTTATGATAGTTGAGATTTTTGATTAGCTTTTACGGAATTTATAAATCTTAGGAAATAAATTCAGAAGATGACCATATTTTAAATTCTTTTCGATTTTATTTCAGTAATTCATTAATGAATAATTGGAATATTTGTGTTCAGTTCAATTGTTAAGTCATCTGTTTGTTCAATAAAAAATGCTTTAAATATCATCTTGCAAAACGTTTGTTAGTTTGATTTCATTGTAATCATCAAAAAAAAAAAAAAACTGTTACTATCTTTACCAAATCATACTGTACTAAAATTTTTGGTTTAGACTTAAAATTATAATTATTATTACTTAATTACCAATAAAAAGCAACAGATTTATTTCCTTAAAATAAATGAACTTTCAAGATAATTACAAAAATAAGTAAACTGAAACAAAAAAAAAAAAAAAAGAACTGTGTAATAGACCGAAAATTCAATTATATTCTCGTTTGTTTATTTAATTTTTTTTATTTAATAAAATAAATTGCAATCAAGAGGCTATGAAATTTAAATTTTTTAAATTTTGGAGTTAATAGAAATAAATAGATTAATAGAATATTGAAAAAAATTAAATTTGCGATTAATAAAAAATATATAGCAATTGCTTTTTATTTCGTCATGAATGAGTAATTGTTGCGGAGAAATAAGTTATAATTAAGAATATTTGAATTAATTAAATAATTTTTATTTAATAATAATGAGGATAGCAGCTGGCATTGTAATTTATCCATTTTCGCTTCTAATGTATTTTTCCTAATATGCTCAAATGAATATTTCAATTTTGTTCTTGTTTTCAGGATACAATTCCTTTTTTTACCACAATTAAAATAATTTAATAAACAATATGTTGTCGTCTATGTCTTTTTTCTTAATTTTTTTCTTAAATTTCTTTAATTATCCAATGGAAATTTCTTTTTTATGATGTTAAGCCTGAAATAAATTGCAAGTTTAAAAGATTAGAGTGCAATAATAGTCTATCATGCAGAATTTAATGACTTACGTCGGTATGACATTACGGCGGCATTCTCTTAGGTTAGCATCACAAGAATCGAAGATTCAGTGCATGTACAATCAATGTTGTCGAAATTGGTGATAATGAATAGATACAATAAAATTAAATGATTTGATTTAGTAATTATGCATTTAATAATGACTAATAATTATTTTTAATTATATTGAAAAAATAGTAATCAAAAATTCATAAATAACATAAATAAATAGGCACAACAAAGCAAAATAAAATAAGTATCTTACAAGAAAAAAAAATTAAGAACCTCAAACATATAATAATCAAAACACAATCCCCTACATTCACTCCAAAAGTAAACAAACGCCAGAGATGAGAATTTATAAAAACAAATTGTGAGAAATAATTTATAATCAAGAATAATACTTTCGTTATCAATGTTAATCACATACGCCTTGTTGACACTATGCTAACATATTGTTCAAAAACACTAAAACGGATAAAAACAAAAACAGTTAGATAACTATAATTTTCAATGATATACTTTGAGTGATAATTCTTATTTACTGATAAATTCAGTTTTATTGTGACAGGAATCTGTTCATCGCCGCAAGTAAACAGCAAAGATGAGCGATTGAAACTTGATAGAAACAAATACAAAGCCTGAGTTCTCAAAGTTCGCAAGTTATTTCATGAACACGTTCACGATCACGTTGCTCTAGTACGGACATAATAACATTTCTTTGAATATTTGATGTGAAGTGAGAAATAAGATTTGAAGTGATTCTGTTGTGAAAATCCATCGTTGAACTAACTGATAATCGATTTATCTAATACCTTGAGTTTAGAGATGTTAATAATTTTTTTAAATGTTCCTTTAAGTTTAACTTTTTTTTAAAAAAGTTTTATTGTTATTCAGTTCTTCTAATTTTGCTGGTTTTTTTTTTTATTTTTGGTTATGTGTTTGATATCTTTAGGTGTTATTTGTTTCTTTTTTTTTATGTTTATGGTTAGATTTAATTTTAGCCTGAAGTACTATGATCATTTTGTTTATTTCTTATTTTGTATTGGTTTATTATCTGTTTTATTTGTTTGCTTGTTTTTTTTTTTTTTTTTTTTTTTTTTTATTGTTTTGTATTTTTTTTTCTTGAGATTTTTCTGAGGATAGTTGGGATACAAATAAAGCAGTTATACTCGAATAAAATAGAGGAAATGCGGGTAGGAAAAAGTCTTCAATGTTATTTTCAAACATTCAATAAGTATAACGTTTTGCATGCTTAAATGAAGCGTAGAAATTTTAGACATATGAAAGAGTTTTCAAAATTTTTATAGCTTTTTAACTTATTAGGATAAAATAATATTAATTAAAAAATAGAATAGAATAAAGTAATTAATTAAAAACTAGAATAGCAATCATGTGTGCTTCAACTAGGTCATTTTTGATAAACAGAATTGGCACTATTGAGATGAGTTAAACGTTGAAATTAAAAATTGAAATTTACTATGCAGAAATTTCGTTTGCATCACATATTATTCAGAATATTAAATTGGAAATTGGTCTTTTTTTTTACACATGAAATGATAATATGAAGCAATGGAAAATCAAAATTATTGGAAAAAGATCATTTAAATTCTCTGGGGAAAATTATCAATAGCGAAGTGATATTATGAAGTCATAAATAGTAGATGAATTGAATAAAAATGATTTATTTATGTGATATTTGCATTCTGAGGACTGACATTTGCGCCTGAAGCATAATTTTACTATTATTACAGATGTGTATTTTGCATTCAAAAATTTATTGAGAATATAAAAAGAAATCAATTAATTGATATGATTGTCTCATTTTGTTGTCTTAAAATTACTCAGTATTTTAAAATTACTTTAAATTATAATTTATTATTATTTCAAAATTACTTATTTTAAAAAATGAAATTACTTATTATTTTGAAGTTTTAAAGTTTACTTCACTAATTCGAATTTCATTTATCTTTCTCAGTTACTCAAAATTATTTTACATTCATTGATTTCTAAGTGAAAAATATACGAAGTCATCTATAATTCCCAAAATATTTACGTCTATTCGTACAAATACTATTTTATTGGTTTTTATGATGCATGTTTTAATGTTCTTATTGTTACTTTTGATATTTTTGTCAACAAAATTTTGCTGAGGAAATTTGTTTATGAAAATTACCAAAAATAAAATAAAAAATTAGCATAATACAATTATAATAATGCTGAAAAAAATGGCATAACAATTACTTCTTACAATTAGATAACATTAAAACATTTTAATTGTTTTCTCAAATTATTTTATTGGAATGATTATGTGTGAGATATACTGCGATATATTCAGGATGTTTGTTGTGTGCAATTTGGTTGTTGTTGTAATAACTGTTGTGATATCTGTTGCTGTATTTGTTGAATTTGAGTAAGTGATAGTGGTGCATACTAAATTCTGAAAAGTTGTTGTTGTGGTTGATGATGAATTGATTGATGTAGTTTTTCTGATAATTGTCGTTGCTGTTGTTCATACTGTTGCGGTTGATGTTGTTGTTGTGATGATAATAAGCAGTTGTTGTTGTTGTGATTCATCACATGCACGATTGTTATCACATGAATGATGGCATGATATACTGCATCGTTCAAGTGAGCCATTTTGCTGCATGCATTGTTGCATACAATTATTTTGACATAAATAAAGACAAACAGAAAAGTGTTGTATTTCATTTTCTTCATTAGCTGAAATTTGTTCCATTTTTGTTAAATATTGTTGTTCAGCTTGCTGATCAATAAATGTTGTTGATTGTTGTGACTGAACAAGTGGTGATAGTGAATAAGGATACATAGGTAATGAAGTGGAATAAACAACATTACCAGACAATAATGCTGCTTGATGAATGCATTGATCATGACAAGATTGCATACAAAATGAAGCGCAAAATGCTTGCGTATGATTTAGCATATTATCATTTTTATTGTTTAATGCTAATTGTTGATGTAATAATCCTTCTGATATTACTGGTTGTTGATCAATTGCTTTCACTATTGGATGTTGATGATTTTGATCAGCAGATGTTATTGGTAAAGTGTTTTGTTGAATACATTGACAAAATGGTATACAATCTTGATTACAAATAATATTCTTATTATTATTGTTATCTAAAAATTGGTCATATGATATATCCAATTGTTTATCATTGAAATTTGAAATTATCATAGATGATGGTTTGCTTGATGCTGTCATCAATTTTGATATATTTGTTATTGATGGTATTGATTTGTTCAACTGCATTTTTGATATTAAAGAAATACTATCCTGTTGTATGTTTGATTCCATGTTTCATCCTGTTGTCGTTTTTGCTGTCGTTGTTCCTGTTGTTTTGGTATTACTTGAGAAAATTCAACAGATGAAATAGGTTATCTATTTTACACATGTTTTGACAGGATTGTTGACAATGTAAAATATTGCTTCTTCATGCATCTTTGAAGACAAATTGGAATACCAATTGATAATTGTTGTTCTTGTTGATGTTGTTCATAGTATTGCTGTTGTTGTTGTTGCTCCGGTTGTTGTGATATTGTTGCAATCGTTTTCGTAGTAGTAGAAGTAATCACTAATGAATCAGCCTGATAGAATTGATCCAACTGTTGATGAGCAGTTAATTCTACTTTATTTATCTTATTGCAATCACATTTTGGTATAATTTTAAGACAAATACAATGTTGCAAATCATATTGTGAATGATTTTTCTCATTAATCCGAAATCAATATGCATAATGAATTAGAATGAAATTAATTCGGAGTAAATACAGGAAGCGCTTCATTATTTCTCCGTAGTCGTCGAAAAGTTTATAATAGTCGCTGGTTTGCTATTACTATTTTGTCGATTTGATATTTTGATTTGGGTAGACATTTAACTAAAATTTTTCTATATATATATATATATATATGTATATATATAGGTAGATAGATCAATAAATCATCGGAAATATCTATCCGGTTTAGAAGTAATTCACTTTACTTAAACAAACAAATAAAAAAAATGTTTTTCAATAACCAACATTAACTCGAAATATTACATCCAGTTACATAATAGTTCAAATTACAAAAAAAAAAAAAATGAAGTGGATAAAAATTTAATGTTATCAAACAATTGCTTTTTATAACAATTAAATAGCAATGTTTGAATATTTATGCAAATAAAAATTTCTTTTTGCAACAATTAAAAATCTTGAAAATTTGTTTTAATACAATGACGTCATACCCATTTATAAACTTTTTTTTTTTCAATTTTCTTTACTGTTTAATGCCATTTTGTCGTTTCTTTCTTTTTTTCTTATATAATATTTAAATTAATTAGTTTATGAAGGCGTAGCATTGCTGATTGTGTGAATATCCTGCAAATAAATTTTTTTATTATCATTTTTTACTTCGCTATAAATTTAAGAACAACTTTAAGGAATCATTACAAATTGAAGAACAAATTAAAACAATCATTCTAAATTTGCGAATAAATTTAACAAATCACTACTAATTAAGAATTTACAAATTTAAAAATTTATTTAGGAAACAGAATATATGTGAAAACTGACACCAAATTTAGTCAGGAAAAAAAATTTCTTTTTTTTTGTTAGACTGGTTTTAGTATAAATGATAAAGAAGTGATAAGAGAAGAGAGAAAAAAAATTACTCACCAAATTTATAAGCAAATAACAATCTTAAATTTGTAAAAACTAATATATACTTTGTTGCAAAATGATGCATATAACTTTCCACGATATGTAATTCGTGATAATAATTAATTATTTATTGCAGTCATTTTAAAATTATTTTACTTTAAAAATTCGAACATAATTAATTTATAATCATCCATCAGATATGAATTAAATCTTATATTATCAATAAGAATATTACGAAATAATTATTTATCAAACTATGAATCAAAATTTAAATTATATTGTAACTACTTTGCAATAAACTTTCTCTTTCCCTATTCAAAATTAACAGCTTTCTTATCAATTTTATCATTCTTAAAAGCAGAAAAAAAAATTCTTTTAAATCACAAATTTGCATAATGTTCACTAATTATTCAATGCTTTATCATTAAAAAGTTATTCACCGTAGCACATATTAAAGCATTTTGTATCGATTTCTTTGAAAAAAAAAAAAAAAAAGAAAAAGAATTCATTAATCAATTCATATTTCCTCTCTTACTTTTTAGTTACTTTTCTTTTTTCATACTTTTCCATATACAAAAGTTATTTTCAATGAATAAAAAATATGCGTGAAAAAATTTTTCCCAATCTCTTATTTCATTCTTTTATGCTTCTTTTTTTTTTCTTTCTCTCAGATAATTTTAACCTTCTATTTTTTTATAAATTATTCTCAAACTAGAATAAATTATAAATACGTATTTGAAATTTTGCAAATAAGCTTTAAAATATTGTTTAACTATTAATTTTTGTATGATATACTTATGTCTAAGAATCTATTATGATGATTTCTGAAATATTTTAATTCAAACGAAATTTTATTATTCTTTGAAAATACTATGACCGTTCTTTTTTTCCGTACATTTTAAAAAGACCATAACGGATTTGCTATAAAAACTAACCGTTTTTTTTAGCTTTTATGCCCTAATCGATTGAGTTAGTAAGTGAAAATAAGAAATGCAAAATCAGTAAAATGAAAATAAATTATAATGAAATGATTTAAATCTATCTATATCAATATATATAATTGAATTTGATTAATTTCAGTAGAATGCAGTCTAAGATTTAAAAAAATGTCAATAAAATGTAGCCAAAAAATTTTTTTTAGAAAGAAAAAGAAAAACTGATGAAATCTCATGTTTCTGAAAAAATATTTTGAATGCGATAATGTTGTTATACAAAAAAAGAGACAGCTAAAATTTAGTATATATCATTTGCTGAAAAAAATATTTAAAAGTTCCATTTGAATTTACTATTCTCAAATTTCTGAAACAAACTTAGAAATTATTTAAATTTCCTCTACATGCATATACTTTTTTTGTCTTTACAAGAAGTAGGTATCAGTTTAACAGTTAACTTATTTCAATAATTTTAATCATCTAGTTAATCATTCTTTCTAAATTTTTTTTCTTCAATAATTATTGAAAGTTCATCAATCACATATCTGTGTGGATTAGATTACAAAAGCTTAAAATATACAATGTGAATTTAAATATTATAATTTAAAATGAAATGTAGCACTTATGATTTTTTTTTCCTTTTTTTTTTTTGAGATTTATAGTATGTTACAGGATCAACTTACAATCATATGAGCATTAAAATTTTTTTCATAGTCTAATCATTTTATTTATTTATCTGTTTATTATTTTTTAAAATATGGCATTAGTTTTATTTTTCCTTAAATTTAATCCAACTATACAATATTTCGATGATTCAATTAATTTTTCTTAAAAAGACATGTGACAATGGTGCAACAGAATTCAGTTATTGCTGGATTATACAAACAAGCATTCAAGTTAGAAGAAAATGAATCGAAAATTTATTTTATCATTGTTGTTATTGTTTTTTTTTTCTTTTTATCTTTTTCCAGAAATATTAATAAAATTAATACAAATATTTGATAAAAAAGAATAATTTATTGTGCAGAGGAACAATTTAAAGCATATTATTATTTCATTTTTTTTTCTTTTTTTTGAAATTTTAAGTTTCTGTAAAAATCTTATAAAATATATTTTGTTGAAAATATTCTTACAAATGTAGGAATATCTTAATTTTTAATAAATGTAAAAATTTTATCCAATTCTTCTTCATTCATATCTGCTTGACCTCTTTTGATATATCATGTGTAGTTTCATCAATAAGCAAATTTTTATTTAAATATTTTTCTCTTCTTTAATTGCAATAAAAAAGTCATTAGCAATATGAATTAATTTGATAAATTATAAAATTTGTTAAGAATCAAGAAATTATAGAATCTGTAATTATATCATATCTCTGATTTAATTTGAAATAACGTGGATGACAATGGTGATAGGAATGACATTGATGATAAGAATGATAATGACAACAAGATACGATGAAAATAATTTAAGTACAACAATTAATTTGATGAATATTATATCTATAAAAAATAATGCATACAGCAATTAATTTTAAAGAGTATTATATCTATCAAACAAAAATTTGTTGCGAATTAAAAAAGCTTAAACATTCGGAAAGTTAAAACTAAATATTACGATTTAGTAATCATATGAAATATTTCAAAGAGATAAGAAAACTAACATTTGCAAAAAAGAGATGAAAAGTGAAAGTGATAAAAGAATGATTAAAGATTGCTAAGAAATAGAATAGAGGCAGATGAAAAATGAATTTAAGTATTAGAAGTGAGAATAGATTTTTATTGAACATATTTGAGAGAAATGATTGAAAAAGAGAAAATAAAATAAAGCTAGTTGAAAAAAGGATATTTGAGAGAGTTAGTCAATATAGTGTGATGAAATAAAATAAAGAAATCACAGACAAATTTTAACTAAAAACATAGATGTTAGCTTGGCTAGCTAGCTAACTCACATAGTTTGCTTATATTCTCATTTGTCAACAATTTTTAACTCTCATCGTTCTGTCATCTATCTTTTTACAATGTGTGCATTTATGCAAAATTATGTGTCATAGAAGAATTAGCCACTTTTCTCTTTTCAAGCAATCATTCTTGATAAAGTTTAGCGTAGTTTTTCCTTTTCCTTTTTCATTTCAGCCTAAACGTTTTACTGTTTAAGTTATTTGTTAGCCATATTTCATGTTAACATTGAATTTTTATCAATTTATTTAATTTCATTATCAAAAACCTCTTCTCTTTCTTCCTGTTATTTTTTTTTTTGGTTTTTATTATGAAATGAGGAATTTTAGATTAAACAATTAATAAGTGAAGAATGCAAGTAAAATAATTACTATTTAATGGTTCTTCTATTGTCCACTAGAATATTACTTTTCCGTTCAATTCTAAATAATTTATCGGGAAGTTCCGTTCAATTCCAAGTAATCTATCAGAAATTCCCGTTCAATTCTAAGTAATTTACCGGAAATTCGCGTCCAATTCTAGGTAATCTACCAGAAATCTACCGGAAATACCGAAAACTTCACCTCTTTCCCTTCTAACTAAAAAAACCTAAGTAGCCGTCCTTTTTAACGTATCATTCATCCATTTCACGATGACATTTCATTTGGGCTGCGTTAATTCTAAGCATAAATCCATAATAGATATAAATGGGGAGTATTTCGTATAGGCTGTGGTACTGCTGG